ATCATATATATATATATAATAATTCTATTTACTCCTTACTATTTATATATATATAATATATATAATATATATATATAATTATATATATATAATAATATAGTGTATTTATGTTCATTATGTATAATATATTATCTACATTTATAATCCCTATGAAAGGCATCTCCAAACAGACTTCAGATTTACTTTTTTTTCTTCTTTAAATATCTTATTTATTCATAAAAATACAGGGGGGTTCACGCGCCGCGCGTGAAATTCGGCCTGTTTTGCCCGGAACCGGAAGCCCTCGATCCCAAATTGATTGAATTTGATGTGTGTATGTATGGATTTGCTTTATGAAATGAAATTACCTTCTTCGCCTACAAACGCGTATCTTATCCGTCTGTGATCTCGATCAATGCTGCGTGCAACTGCGACATTTTTTCGCTTATTATGTGATTCGCGAACATTTCACTGAATCACTTGTAACTCGTATCACACCTCTGAATCTTGCTTGCGATTTTACAGAAAAGACCAATCGCAACCTCATAGCAACATTCGGATAATAAGAAATGCAGTAACAAATGCGACGGGCGAGTTTCGTTGTTGGTGAAGTTAATCGAGGAAAGCAACCGACTAAAGTGTCCTATTTGAACAATTAGTTTTTAAATTTAATCAAAAAACGCGCTCATTCGAATCGGGCACTTCAATTGGCTACATCCCTTGCAGTCTTTTTTCCCCCCGTAGGTGTAGTCTGACTGTGTGCGTGTCAAGTCGGGCGCTACGATCGTTTTCTCCCGTTCTCATTGGCCGCTTTAAAATTTCAAATTTGAATCTAGACCAATCAGGTACAATGTGACTCGTCGTCAGCCCAGTTCTTGTCGGATTTGCAGACTGCAAATCGTGTATCGCGTGTTTCACAGCGAAAGATTTACGCGCTAAACGATACGAGGTATGCGCTCCCGAAGAAGTATATGACGCCTCGCTACAAGGGAAACATGATACGATGATAGCGACAGCAGTTTTAGACGGTACAAGGATACGGTAAATGCGTGAGTTACAGAATGTTACGCTTAGACACGGTCGCACATCGAGTCTACATCGATCGAAGCGCCCCTTCGTCCAGTTTGCGAACAGAGGTACTCGCGAAACGGTCGGGCGCGAAAACGCAGCAATCGTACGTGCATCGGGCAGTGAGATACGCGATCGGGCAATTTATTCGGGCGATTCATTTGGGCGATTGATACGTGCGATTTACACGACGGATTCGCTGGAGGGACTCATCGCTGGCGGGATCGACGGGACGACACCTCCGAGATCGCAACGGGCGAACCCTCGGTTCCCGGCAGAGCGGCAAAATTTCACGCGGCGCATCCGAGAAATCTCAGTTACAAAAGGAATATAATCGAAGGTAAACGAGATAATAAAAACGTACTCTCTAAACGTAGGTAGAAATTGGTAACTTTTGACTCACTCATTGAAAAAGTATCTCTCTCTCTCTTTCTCTCTCTTTCATTCACACACACTCACTCGTTCTTTCTCTCTCATTCTTTCACTTTCTCTCCCTCTCTCTCACTCACACACTTTTTCTCTAGCCAATCCGGCGCTTTCTTGCTTTCCTTCCCCTTCTGGCCGCGTCGTTTTTGGGTTAAACATTTGTATGTTTCGCGCGCTTCTTCAGGTATAACAACGGCAAGAAACGTCCGCCATTATCTCCATTTCGAAGCGAAATTTTCAATCGAGAGGAAGCTAAGGAAAGTGATGCGCTGTATGTGCGGAAAAGCCGCGGGAAGTGACCATCAATCGAGAAGAATCACGCTCTCGTACGATGGACGTACAGGTAAAATGGAATAAAATTGATGCTAGTCGTGAAAACTTGAGCACTTGCAAATTAATTAAATGCAACAAGGCACTAGGGTCATATGTTTCATAGTATTAGAAAACTGTAATTTCGTGAAATTAAATATTCAGAAAAAAGAAACAGAAAAATCACTTTTATCGAGGAATTAAAATTTCCTTCTCATCAAAATTAGAACACATTAATATAGAGAGTTTAACACATTAATATGTTGCTTCACACTCTACTGATATGAAGTAAATCAATGTAAAACGCGCTTGTAACTAGTCACATATCCTTAACATTGAACGATTCAAATAAAGATATTGATTGCAGAAACGTTGAGAAAATATATCGGTCGTATCTTAAATTCGCGTTCTGTATCACCGATCAATGCGAGATAATGAAATAAGAAATCCTAAAAAATTGAATTCACACACACGTTCGTTCGTTTCCTCACGATTTCCGACAAAATGGCTGTGTCATTTTCAGCCTATATATGCGAGAGCAGGTATTTAACACGGAATTATATAAAGACAGGAGACTAGTATACTTCCTCTCTTTCTGCAACAGTTATTATTAAACCTTTCCTACAATATGTACAAAGTTGAACCCACAAACGAGAGGCGCGTGGTAGTCTCTGCGTTTTCTTTCCATCTTTCTTTTTTTGTTTTTTTTTCTTCTTTTTCATTAAATTTCTTTTTTCCCCTTTCTTCCTTTTATTCGCGATAGACTCTCACTCGCACTTAAATATTAAAGGTTGGGCATGATAATACTCTTTGTAGTATATATAATGCCCTAAGTCTTGCTGATCCAACGCTTTAGCTCTCCCGTAAGCAGCTGCTGTACTCCCAGACATCGATGCACTTTTTTTTCATTTATAAAATATACAGGCCCCCGGAACAACGGTCTCTTCCTTTACAATCTTTTGAGCAATTTGATTTTTTTAAGTAATACTTGATCCTCCATTATTAGACATTACTTCAGAGATACAGATATTTTTACACAACTATTTTAAGTGTTTCAAAAATTGTTAATTGATTAAATTAATAAATCAACAAAACTATTTTTTAAATTAAAGTATATACATGTGATTATTTCGTTTAAAATTTAAATTCGAGCGAAATGCATCTGAAGTTGAAAGCTTAAAAATTTTATCATCTTAAAAATTTAAATTATCAAAATCTAACGTTAAAATTATTTTGATTTTAATTTCGTTAACTTATTTTAACTTCGTTAAAATTATTAAGAAAAATTACTAAAATTATTTAGACATTTTGCGCACGCGTGATATACATCTCTCTAAAAAGAATTAATTTAGTATTGCTCAAAAGATCTTGTGATAAAGGAAGCGGCTACAATTCTGAGAAATCCTGTGAAATATGTCTATGCATATATATATATATATATATATATATATATATATATATATA